TTGTCGATCGCGGTTGTATGTTAGTACATATGTATATATGTCACACGATTGATCCCGAGTACAAAGTTTTTTTTTAAGTGGTTAGAGCTAGAACTGCATAAACTTTTTACGATCGTTGTATTCTTGGCTGTAATGTATTTCGACTTGAAGTTTACTTAATAAAAATTGCATTATATAAACAAATCTAACATTTTTGGCATCCCTTGCGGGGAACCAACCTAGCCAATTGTTTAATTGTGTTAAGCAATTAATATGAACTATTAATACGAATTACATCACGGAATATACCTGATCACGTGTTCGCCATCATGTCAGCTGAAAAGGAAGAAGGTCTTGCTCGATTAATTCTTAATTTTGCGGCAAACACTAGAAAGGTCTCAAAACAAAAAAGAACTAAGGGCTATCTTGTGGCCAGAAGGAATCTACTGGCTGATTATTGGAAGCGCTACAATGACTTCCGTGACGACATTTCTGCAGCAGACGTTATTGAAGGCGAAGAGGGCAAGGTTAAGACGACATTAAGTGAAGCTCGTTTGGCAACAATAGAATCGGCATACTGCGAAGCACTAGGTGAAATACATGATGAAATCGAAGAATTTGACAATCATCGTAGTGAAAATCATCCAGCAACCATACTCAATCATACATGCGGTGGTTCTACAAATACATCAGCGTCAAAGCTTCCGAAGATTATTCTGCCAAAATTCGATGGCTCGTTTCAAAAATGGTTAAGTTTTAAAGATATGTTTACAACATGCATTATAAATGAAGCTTGTTTGTCTGATGTACAACGTCTGCATTACTTAAAAGGCAGTTTACTAGGTGAAGCCGAAACTCTTCTTCGCAGTATTAGTATCCAGGAAAACAATTTTGCTATAGCCTGGGATATGCTCCAACAACGTTATAACAATAAGCGACGCCTTGTCAAGTCTTATCTGCGCAATATCACGAAACTTCCGGCGATAACCAATGAGTCAGATAGCGTCATGCGAAAACTTTTGGATACTACCACAGAATCAGTCCGCGCATTAAAGCAACTAGGACGGCCAACAGAACACTGGGATGACTGGCTTGTTCTACTTGTAACCGAGAAGTTAGACCCAGCGACAGTAAAACAGTGGGAAATGTCTTTGGAATCTCCGAATGTGTTACCAGAATATACAACTCTGGTGCAGTTTTTGGAAAAACGTATTCAGGGCATAGAAGCAGCTTCGTCGGCTTCCAAACCCAAAACTAAAGAACCGTCATCTAATAATAAGTCAACAGCTCTGACTTCCATTCGCAGTCATCAGACCAATGTAGGTCGTTGCCTATGTCGCTCAGGTAAGCATGCGTTACCACACACTTCTTCACGATAGCTTATCGCTTCAACGTAGTAGCGTCGCTGCACTTCA